GTCGATTGCATATACTACAATATAATTCCAAGAGACTGGTAAAGTATCAGTCTTTATGTGAGACATTATGGATCGTATCCTATATGTTTTGGGTATAGGGTCGATTACATATGCTATAACATTTATATGTTCTGAATTTTCCAAATGCCTAGGGCATTAAAAGGGAAAATGGACTAGAACTAGATATGACTAAAATGGTTAAGCAACTGTCTAGAACAATCAGAGGTTTAACAAAGATTGGTTGCTTATGGACAGTTTGATGTATAATGTAAATTTTGGATGGACCATTTTGGCATACTCTAGGAATAGGTAACTCTTGTTCAAAAGTGATAGTCAAAATGGGAATATGGAAATGTTTCCATAAGTGGAAGTTATTCTTTAGATCTGTGTAAGATCAGAAAAATTAATGCAAGAAGGATGTTCAAAGGAATGTACTTTGAATGCCAGACTTCGTTTCCCTAGAATTGCTCTCCATTGGAATACTTTGTAATGTATGTTGCCAAGTCTCTGTGACTTTTGTGCATAGTCATTACATGAGCATCATTTCATATAAGTTTAGAATCTAACTGATTATAGTAAATGCCAAGAATTTGGTATTCTTAGATTTACGGTAAGAATATGAAATTGTGAAATGAGTTTCATTGAAGATGAATTCAATTTATCTATTTCACAAAGAAAGGAACATAGGCAAACATAGTGTGCATGCTAGGAGCATGGGAGAACTATTGTTTTAATTCAATTATTAAGTTGATCAATTGAAACAATATACAATGAATAATGTGTAATCAATATGGTGATTAAATAAAAGGTGTTTTATTTATATTCATAACTTCTGAAACCATATTAGATTCGATTATTCTTGTGTTTCACTTTGTATGTTTTGACATCCCGAATAACTAGGTTATTCAAACCATCCACAGTCGATCATACTTTGGAAGTAGGTATTGAAGCTAGATTGCCATGAATGGTCTGTAGATTGTCTAAAGGTGTTTAGACATAGCACAAGTTTGCTACAACATTCATGAGTGCTCATAAGGTCTGAATATTGGATTAAACCAACACTCATCTGAATCACTTAATGGATTTTATCACGAGTGATTAGTGAGACAATAATATCTTATATTCTTGAAACCAAGACATGTGAGTTGTAATTTACAAGTCGGTTACATATTGACATATGTAAATGTACCAGTAACTTGGTGTTATAAAACATATTGTTGTGTGTGATTTGATGAGTAAGTAGAAGCAATCATATGAGTTGAATTTTATCTGATCCTTTTACCCTTAGAGGGATAAAAGCGATATATGTGGGCCCCTCGATGATTTAGTGATGACAATCCTAAATGCTTGGCCAAGCCTGGACTGATTTGATTTGTTCAATTATCCGGTTGCCATAAAATGGAAATCAGGAAAAAATAGATGGACAGAGAGAATGATTAGAATCCATGTCTCATGTTCATATGATATCTAGAATGAAGGAATATATGATCCCGTATCTAAGGGACGCGTCGTTGACTAGGTCAGAGTTTGTCAGCGGCTTTTTAGAGCTACGATTGCTAGTCGGGATTTTGGAGTCGTACTTGCAATATTAGTTATTAGACTTTTCCAAGTAGGAGACTGTTGGATTAGGTGTCTAAGGCCATAACTATAATTGGTATTTACTTGACTCGAGAGTAGCATGGTCCATTTCGGGTTGCATATAACTAGGAAAATTTGACAGGATGGATACTCGAGTAAGAGGTTACTTATGATTTATTAATATATTACAAGTTCTAATATATTAATACGAAATCATATTATTTAATTAGTATTGATCAAGAATTAATTTGGAATTAATTATGTGATCAAAAGAGACTAATTAAATTTATGGGGATTGATTTGGTAAATCAATGATTCTTATAGTTTGGGCCAATTGTTATTTAGGATGGACTAAACCAATGGTAGTCCATGGAGGTTTAACCCATGGAGCCTAAGTAATATGAAAGGTCATGGGCATTAGGGTTTTCATGGATGTAACCCTAGACTTTGCCACACTATAAAAGGACTCCCTTAGCACCAAAAATCGGCCACTAGAGTTCTTAGAGTTCATTAGGGCCAATCTAGAAGCTAGCAACATCTCTATTATGTTTTCCTTTGTCCTAGGTGTGTTGTAAACCGTTTGAGGCATCACACTTGGGGTACTAAGTTCTTAAAGGCCAAATACAACTTGTTCTACAAGCTACATAAAGAGGTAAACTCCTAACTGGTATTTTATGTTATTTATGTCTATTGTATGCTAGTTGTAGGCTTAATGCTTTGGAAACAATATTGCATGTATAATTAGGGAAAACATAGATCCAAATCATATAGGGTTGTATGTGCACCAATATGGTAGTGCATGGAGGTTTAACCCATGGAGCCTATGTAATATGAAAGGTCATGGGCATTAGGTTTTGCATGGATGTAACCCTAGACTTTGCCAAACTATAAAAGGACTCCCGTAGCACCCAAAATCGGCCACTAGTGTTCTTAGAGTTTATTAGGGCCGATCTTGGAGCTAGCAACATCTCTCTTAAGTTTTCCTTTGTCCTAGGTGTGTTGTGAACCGTTTGAGGCATCACACTTTGGGTGCTAAGTTCTTAAAGGCCAAATACAACAAGTTCTACAAGCTTGATAAAGAGGCAAACTCCTAACTATTATTTTTTTTTGTTTATGTTAATTGTATGCTAGTTGTAGGCTTAATGTTTTGGAAACAATAGTGCATGCATAATTAGAGAAAACATAGATCCAAAGCATATATGGTTGTATGTGCACCATAGGATGCTGTAGTATACTAAAACCCAACAAAGTGCACGCAGCGCTTGTAGTGCACCGTATGCCAAAGAACTATAGATAGAGTTGCTCACTTTGTTATTTATTCATCCGAAAGCACTCTCTCCATCTCTCAAAGTTAATTCGAAAGTTCTCTCAATGACACAAAGCCTCCAATGTAGTAGCATGGATGCTTCAGATTACGTCACTATAGTGAGTCTATGACCCATATTAAATATTTTATGTGTTTTACTAGGAGGTAATACATGCTTGTCAAATTGGTTTAACAATATATATTTATATCTATAAATATCAATCATTTTATAAACCTTAAAACCTTAGTATAATGTAGCTATAGACACTATACGTTTTTGTAAGCTATGATATTATGCCTATGAGTTATGATGTATGATAGTCTAGGAGAGATAATAACTAGATGTTATAATGGCCAAAAGCTTAGGCTAACAAAGTACCTAGAAGTAATGTTGGCCAAATGTAGGGGTATATGCTCTACCTAATCATTACTCTGCCCAAATATCCAATTATCAAATTTACCATAATCTGGACATATATATATATATATATATATATATATATATATATATATATATATATATATATATATATATATGACATCTAAAAGATATAATTATCAAATATAAAATTAAAGGGGTTTATATTTTGATATTTATATAAAGTCACTAAGAAAGATAACAGATAAATAGTTGAGTTTAATGCGTTAGTGAGCTGTTAGTATATATCCTTGCCTGATTAAATTCGGCCAATTAGGCTAACCCCAAACCTGCAATCGTTAATCTTCTGAGAGCTAGGAATATATGTAAAGATCTATATTGGCATTGACACACCCACGAGCGATTGCTAGCTATAATCCTAATAGGATAACTTTCTTATTAATCACCATTCGACCTCCAATGAAGCATCGTGGTTGGGAAATCACTAGTCACACATCGTTAATTCTGGGGGCTCATGGTAACACATTACAACCACCTTAGAGATCCGACTACCAAGAGGGACAACTTAGATTGGTAGGTACAACACATTAGGATTAATAAGATATCCTACAAGATAATAAGACATGATCTTTAGATACCGTAAAAGATAATAAGAAAGGATCGTTAGATAACCTAAAAGATAGGATCATTAGTTATCCTAAAAATTAGATAAGATCATTAGAGCATCTTAAAAGATAATAGTATTGGATAGATAATAAGATAGGATTTGTAGATAATAGAAATTGTAATAAAGCATAGAAAACCAGAAACTTTAAGAAATGTAAGAATTTCTAAAAAGTTTTCAAAGATAATTTATTATATATTTCTAACCTGTGAACTCACCAACATCAAGTTGACGTTTTCAAAAATTGCTTGTGTTCCTAGAATAGAGTAAGGACCAAGGCAAGGAAGAACTATCAGCTCAAAGATGGATAATTTTGGTTTTCGCTATGTGATTTGCGTAATTTATGTACCGTGACCACTCGGCATTTCCGCCAATAGCCGGGGAAGATGTGACAGAATGGTATCAGAGCTAGTTGGTATAGCGAATTAGTATTTCTGTAGTTATTACGACTATAGCTTAGGACATATACTTCGATTAGGTTTTCCCTCAAACCTATAAATACAATTATTAATATTAATTACCCAACCGATAAACTACGTATGGGAGAGGTGCCTAGGCTGGAATCGTTACTTAGGTTGCTGGATTTTAGAATGGCTATATGCCAAAAATGGTAGTGCACTTCGACTCTTCCTACCTGGACATTCCTTAATTATTAGTCTAGATGTACAAAATAATAATAACCGCCAATATTGAATAGAATATACAAATCAAGAATGCAATATATAAGATCTGGTTTTGTACGTAAAGGTTGAGTCACTCCTAAACATAGCCTGATCAACTATGTTTAGTATTGGTTGAACCAATACATCAACGACATATGGACTCAATAATGGATAAAATAGAAACCATATAAATACAAACATAAATCCAAAAAAATACATATAGTATATCACAAATATCCCACATAAAAGTAGAAATAAGTATCGAAATACAAACATAATACATCAACGCTCTTGCTAGTTATTGCTCTCATACTCGCCCTCCTCGTTCTCTGTCTCCTACTTCTTGTCATCGTCAATATCCCCGGGATGTGTGCCTAAGTTACCAACACCTTCGTGACCAGTACCCTGTGGTTAAGGAGCGGGTGGAACAGTAGGAACTGCCTGAAGAAAAGGTGGATGGTCCATCCCCAGACGTTGTTTCACCCCATCCATCGAATGGATAATCCAACAATGCTCTTCGTGTGCAAAATCCTGACGCCGCATCACGTCATGTAGAGTCGGCTCCGACTTATCAGGCTCGGTAATCCTAGGTCTCTAATGCCTCAAAAGGCAGGCTCGGGGATGTCCTTTGCACCACTTGTCGAATCGACTCCATAATATTGTCATCTGGAAGGCTCCATTGCTACCCAACTCCTTGAACCAATAACAACATCTTTCCTATAGCGATAGTACTTATGTCTCTAACAAGAATAGGAACCATTCCAATAGTCTCTACCTAATAAGATAAAGCCAAACAAGTGACCCAACGACCTATACAAATCCTACTCAAAGGCTTGTGAAACCTGGAGCCATGCCATATACGTAGAGAGCAAGAGTAAAGGAACGATGAAGGAAAAAATCAATCTGAGTGAGGCACCACATATAGAAGAGGTCTCTAGGGGAACCTGGTTATACTCATATCTTAGACAAATGGTAAAGGCGAAAAATAAGTGAATCAATTGATAGATAGGAGATTTGAAGCACTCTCCTTGGCAGAATGAAAAACATAAGTCCCCCTAACGTGAGCCCATACCTGCTTGTAACTGTACTCCTGTGGTGGCATAGTAGTACTGCTGTCAAGATAGGCACAAAAATGAGGACTCAAAGATAATTTATTATATATTTCAAACCTGTGAACTCACCAACATCAAGTTGACATTTTGAAAAATTGCTTGTGTTCCTAGAATAGAGTAGGGACCAAGGCAAGGAAGAACTATCAGCTCAAAGATGGATAATTTAGGTTTTCCCTATGTGATTTGTGTAATTTATGTACCGTGACCACTCGGCATTTCTGCCAATAGCCGGGGAAGATGTGACAGAATGGAATCAGAGCTAGTTGGTATAGCGAATTAGTATTTCTTTGGTTAGTACGACTATAGCTTAGCACATATACTTCGATTAGGTTTTCCCTCAAACCTATAAATACAATTATTAATATTAATTACCCAACCGATAGACTACGTATGGGAGAGGTGCTTAGGCTGGAATCGTCACTTGGGTTGCTGGATTTTAAAATGGCTACACGCCAAAAATGGTAGTGCACTTCGACTCTTCTTACCTGGACATTCCTTAATTATTAGTCTAGATGTACAAAACAATAATAACCGCCAATATTGAATAGAATCTACAAATCAAGAACCCAATATATAAGATCTGGTTCTGTACGTAAAGGTTGAGTCACTCCTAAACATAACCTGATCAACTATGTTTAGGATTGGTTGAACCAATACATCAATGACATATGGACTGAATAATGGATAAAAAAGAAACCATATAAATACAAACATAAATCCAAAAAAATACATATAGCATATCACAAATATCCCACATAAAAGTAGAAATAAGTATTGAAATACAAACTTAGTACATCAACCCTCTTGCTAGTTATTGCTCTCATACTCGCCCTCCTCGTTCTCTGTCTCCTACTTGTTGTCATCGTCAATATCCCCAGGATGTGTGCCTGACTTACCAACACCTTCGTGACCAGTACCCTGTGGTTAAGGAGGGGGGGGGGGGAACAGTAGGAACCGCCTGAAGAAAAGGTGGATGGTCCATCCCCAGACGTTGTTTCACCCCATCCATTGAATCTGTAATCCAACAATGCTCTTCGTGTGCAAAATCCTGACGCCACATCACGTCATGTAGAGTCGGCTCCGACTGATCAGGCTCGGTAAGCCTAGGTCTCTAATGCCTCAAAAAGGCAGGCTCGGGGATGTCCTTTGGCACCACTTGTCGGATCAACTCCATAATATTGTCATCTGGAATGCTCCATTGCTGCCCAACTCCTTGAACCAATAACAACATCTTTCCTATAGCGATAGTACTTATGTCTCTAACAAGAATAGGAACCATTCCAATAGTCTCTACCTAATAAGATAAAGCCAAACAAGTGACCCAACGACCTATACAAATCCTACTCAAAGGCTTGTGAAACCTGGAGCCATGCCATATACGTAGAGAGCAAGAGTAAAGGAACGATGAAGGAAAAAATCAATCTGAGTGAGGCACCACATATAGAAGAGGTCTCTAGGGGAACCTGGTTATACTCATATCTTAGACAAATGGTAAAGGCGAAAAATAAGTGAATCAATTGATAGATAGGAGATTTGAAGCACTCTCCTTGGCAGAATGAAAAACATAAGTCCCCCTAACGTGAGCCCATACCTGCCTGTAACTGTACTCCTGTGGTGGCATAGTAGTACTACTGTCAAGATAGGCACAAAAAATGAGGACTCAAAGATAATTTATTATATATTTCAAACCTGTGAACTCACCAACATCAAGTTGACGTTTTCAAAAATTGCTTGTGTTCCTAGAATAAAGTAAGGACCAAGGCAAGGAAGAACTATCAGCTCGAAGATGGATAATTTTGGTTTTCACTATGTGATTTGGGTAATTTATGTACCGTGACCACTCGGCATTTCCGCCAATAGCCGGGGAAGATGTGACAGAATGGTATCAGAGCTAGTTGGTATAGCGAATTAGTATTTCTTTAGTTATTACGACTATAGCTTAGGACATATACTTCGATTAGGTTTTCCCTCAAACCTATAAATACAATTATTAATATTAATTACCCAACCGTTAGACTACGTATGGGTGAGGTGCCTAGGCTGGAATCGTTACTTGGGTTGCTGGATTTTAGAATGGCTATATGCCAAAAATGGTAGTGCACTTTGACTCTTCTTACCTGGACATTCCTTAATTATTAGTCTAGATGTACAAAACAATAATAACCGCCAATATTGAATAGAATATACAAATCAAGAACGCAATATATAAGAGCTGGTACTGTACGTAAAGGTTGAGTCACTCCTAAACATAGCCTGATCAACTATGTTTAGTATTGGTTGAACCAATACATCAACGACATATAGACTCAATAATGGATAAAATAGAAACCATATACATACAAACATAAATCCAAAAAAATGCATATAGTATTTCACAAATATCCGACATAAAAGTAGAAATAAGTATCGAAATACAAACATAATACATCAACCCTCTTGCTAGTTATTGCTCTCATACTCACCCTCCTCGTTCTCTGTCTCCTACTTATTGTCATCGTCAATATCCCCGGGATGTGTGCCTGACTTACCAACACCTTCGTGACCAGTACCCTGTGGTTAAGGAGGGGGTGGAACAGTAGGAACCGCCTGAAGAAAAGGTGGATGGTCCAACCCCAGACGTTGTTTCACC